GGAGCCGGTGGGTTTGCAGGGTCCTACCCCTGGAAACCTCCGTGTTGTCCCCTATATCTGGCCGTACTACCTCCTCCTCCTCCGGTTCAGGGAATGATCTTCCCCAAGTGCCATGACCCACTTTGCCTTAGACATTTGGTGCCACGCCAAGACACAGACAGATACTTCTTCAGAAGATGCCTCTGGAGGGATGGCTGGTACCCTGTGCCCCTCTCCCGAGTTTTTATGCCCAGGGCTTTGGTGTTTTGCAGGTTGAAAGGCGTTTCCCCAGGAAGGCTACGAGTAGATAGGTCTATACTCTTGAGTAGCAGTGTAGGCCTTTTTTTAACATTATAGAAAAGACTTCTTTTTCTTAGTGTTTTAAAAGTAAACAAAACTTTTGTGTGGTGCACATGCTTAATTTCAGTTCCAGACTCTTCCGCTACAATCCCTCCTTGTGCTGAAGTAGTATTAAATTTATTGTCTGTGCCAGAGTTGAATTCACTGATTGGCATGTAATCATGCTTAGGAAAAAAAAAGCTCCTGTAAATAGCTATCGGAATTAATTTGGCAGCAATTGTGAGAAATGATCATAAATTTACAAATGCAGTTGTAGTAATGATCCTGCATGGGTATAATGAGAAATACACCTCCAACTTCTGGGAAGCAGCAGGAAGGTTTCTGTGGCAGTCAAACACACTTGGTCACACTGGTACTGAGCTTAAAGGCTGGGAGTTGTCCAGGAGGGATGCAGAGGGGTTAAGACTCCTGGGTTTGAGTTGGGAAGAGGCAAAGAAGAGAAGGAACTAGGCTGAGTGCAAGCAAGAATATTGAGAGAGCTCTGTTTTAAGCATGTATTGCTTGAGTTTGCATGAGAGTTGAATCCAAAAGATGTGGCAGTGTCTTCAGCCATGAGAAGCCCACCTGGAGATGGGGTTCCTGGCACTTCTGGACATCAAACGATAAAAGGCTCCTTTTGCACAGAGATGCCAACAACTTAAGGGAGTGCTGGAAAAAATGTCACCTCATAACACGTCTCTCGGGGCTATGCTAATGAGCTTTACCTCTGCCACAAGGGCACAAGGCACCCACGAGTGGTTTTGCACTGAAGCAGTGAGGCCACGTATAATGTAAAGTACATTCCCCAGGCATTGCAGGAAGAGGGTCTGACTAGCTAAGGATAAACAAGACCTCACCTTTTTTCTCTATCAGTACGGGAAAGACTAAGACTTACAGTGG